CAGCATCCATCCTTGGGGTGCTGAGTGGTCGCTGAGTGGAAGGGAGTGCACACGGCACAGCCCCTGTGTCCACATTTGTTTTAAAATGGATATAAGATAAAACCCGGCAGAGACCGGGCCCTGCTCACGCCTCCTCTGAGGGCAGCCAGGGCTGTGCCCCTCCGTCCTCTTTCTGCAATGACCCCGGGCTGCTGCAGGGTGGGGGCCCGAGGACCCGCACCCCTGACCGCCCGCTGGCCGCCCCCCACAGGCAGACTGCCACCAGAAGATCGATGAGCTCTTCTCCGGGAAGCTGTATCTCATCGGCATCGCAGCCATCGTGGTCGCCGTGATCATGGTGCGTGGGGGTGGCAGGCTGTCTCCTCAGGCCCCGGGTCTCCGGGTGCTGGCTGGGTACTGGAGGGTCTCTGGGTGCTGGCCGGGTGCTGGCTGGGTACTGGCCGGGTCTCTGGGTGCTGACTGGGTCTCTGGGTGCTGGCCGGGTCTCTGGGTGCTGACCGTGCCCCCCGATCCCCTTCTCACAGATCTTTGAGATGATCCTAAGCATGGTTCTCTGCTGTGGCATCCGGAACAGCTCTGTGTACTGAGGCTCCGCCGCCCTGCCCGGCGGGACCCCGGCGGTGCCCCCCGAGCCACCTGGACACTTTGAGGAGGGGTGTATAACCGCCTGTATATATAACTTTTCTGGTATTACTCCGCTACACTTATTAGCCTTTTTCCTTTTGATGTTTTGTTTTTGTCCTCAAGTTCCCTGTTACCTTTTGGGGCTGACGTGGCGTGTGAGTGGGCCTTGGGGACTGCCGGACAGGGGCCCCCTCTGCTTCTGGGACCGCTTGGGGGTCCTGCCTGCTCACCCAGGCCTCTCCAGGGGGCTGAGGGGGCCCGCCCGCGCCAGCTGTGCCCTCCCCACCCCCACCCGTCCCCATGGGTTGCACGGCTCACGCCTTTTTTAATCCACATCCTTCTGCCACCTGTCTCCAGAGCTGGGCCTACGAGTAGCCTTCAACGCACCTGTCCTTTCTAACACGTCACCTACAATTGTAATTACATCCTGAAACTCATTCAATAAAGAAGGAAAAACCAGGCATGCTAACAAATCGTCCAGCCCTTCCTGTGCCCACAGCGTCTGCGTCCAGGGGTGGCCCAAGGGGCAGAGGAGCCTGGCACGGGTGGGGCTCAGCTCTGTGGCCCTCGCTGGGCCCAGGTATGCTGCCCACCCTGTTGGGGTGTCTGGGGAGCACTCCAGGTGGTGAGTGCCCCTTTGTTGGGCCCTGTGCCACCCACAGCCACCTCCACCCACTCTTACTCTCCCGCCTTATGCACCGCTGCCAGAAGGGGGCAGGAGGGGTGGGGCGGCCGGCGGCGTAGGGCACGCTGGAGGTGGGGGCTCTGCGAGACTCCCCTTTTTCCTGAGGGACAGCTCCACAGGGACAGATGCACTGCCCCCTCCCGAGTGTCTGAGGGTCTTCTCACTGCGCGTCGAGAAGCTGGGTGGCTGTGGCCCAAGCGGCATCTTGCCAGGGCTGGCGGGGAGGGTCTCGGCCGCTGCCAGGGGGAGCCCCCCGGCTCACCACGGCCGACTGAGGCCCAGCCATCTCTTGCCTCAGGCTGTTCTTCCAACAGCCACTGCCCGGTGACGGCACCCCGAGCCCCACGCCAGCACTGACTTGTGTGCACTTTCGATTTAGTTTGAGCCCTGGAGGCCACGAGCCCGGCTGGGGATCCGTGGATCCGCGGCACGGGCTTCCTGCGCCGCCTCGGCGGACGCTCAGCCCAGCCCTGCACTGAGGGTCGGGGTGTCATGGCGTCAGCCTGGCCCTCCGCGGCTTGTGCCAGGGCCG